TCAGCTTTCATAAAGATTTCTGAAAGACTGTGTAATTTTATGCAAAATGTTTCAATTTGAAATACATTTTTGCAAATGATAAATATCATAAGTCAATAAATGACTGAATTGTGAACATATTGTACATCTGTTAACATAACAATTTTGTTCCACTCAATAAATCATCTATGTATTCTTCAGGTCAAGGATGAACTTATATATTTATATATATATTTATATNAAGGACCAAATTTTAATGAGAAAAATCATGTAACCATTAATATATTTTATGTTGGCATTGAAATACAGTAATAGTGTTTTTTGTGAGTTTTTTTTTTAAAAACTTTTGTGTCGTTCTTAAATGGCTATGAAAGCTCTTCTTTAAAGACACTTTTTTTAATTTTTTTTTTTTTTTGTAATTTGCATTAAAAATCTGCATTTCAAATTTTAAAAAAACATATGAAAAAGAAATTATTTACAAAATACAATTTAAGTTAATGGGGGAAAGGCAAATATTATTTTCGGGTTAACAATACTAATGTTACATATGATTTAAACTTGCCAGTGACTTGATCATCGCTGTGGTAAAAAAAAAATAGTCAACGCAATTGTATATAATTCAATATGCAATGGGTAAAACTAAATTTTAAAATATTACATTTCACTTACAAGTGTCTTATAATAATATTGAAATATTTAGAATTTGAACATGAGTACATAATATTTTTGGAAGGGAAAGGGGTGGATTGGGTCAGTCTTTATTAGTAAACATATTCACGATTACTTTCCTAAGAAAGTAGTCTGCAATTTAGATAAAGCACTACTGTCATTTAATTTATGCATTCTTTTGCAGTGTGTGAAAATTTGAGTTTCTTTTGTTTTCCTTCAAGAGTGTTTATGTTACGCAATGTTCTTTGGGAAGAGTCAGTCTAAAATTCTATCAAAAATTGGTCATGACAACTTCGAATTCTATATAGTTCTTTTGAAGACTTATATGATCGTCGTAACATTGTGAATGTAGTGTTCTGAGCTAAGGAAACGGACATTATTCGTTCTGAGATAGTGCTATAATTTACTATACTTTCAGCTATGCACACCGTATGCCCAGTAGAAATAAAAATAACAAATAATTATTTTATATTTTTCCAACTCCTAATTTCCTATTTAAAAAAAAAAAATTGATTTCAAGTTGATGAGATTTTTGTTTAAGCACTACTGGTTAAAAAAAGATATATTAACCACCAACAATTAACGAATTGATATATTCTTCAAGTGCATAAGTCTGAGGTCGAGATGCTCGTCAAAGATTGTAAAAACATTAATATAGAAAATTACTGCACTTTCATTTTATTTTAAAAGTATGATATCTAACGGGCAATGTCACGTGAGGCACATGATCCACGTGGCCAACCTGGAAATCTCAGGGAAGAAACTGTGCAAGCTCATCTGTTGTTTTTTTTTTTTCCATTCTTCTCCCTGAACTTAAGTTAAAAATCGCACTGAAGATCAATCATTTCCATTTAAAGCGCAAGTGTGGGAGTGTGGGGAGGGGCGAGGAATGCAATATTCCACATTGAAGGAGAAAGGGTCATCAAACGTTTGGAAAGTGGCTCTGTGTGTTTTGAAGTCTTCAAACCTGTTATCAAATTCGAGTCCATGAGTACTTGGCATTTTGAGATATGGCAGATGTTTCTCTGATAAGGCTCAGATTTCAATTACACAAGTGTTGTGGAGACACCCTTAATATTGTCATATGTAACACTGACTGACCTGGCCTTGTAACTTCATGTTGAGTACATTCAGCTCATGTGTAATTGTTACGCACTGCCTTCTATTGTGAGAAATTAATTTCTTGTTTTAAGTTATTGGCTAGTTCTAAAGAATGCCTAGGAAAGGATTAAACCATAAAGAAATACAATAGCAAAAATACGACACTCAAAACCGTACTAATTACAATAAATAAAATTTATTTAAGTATTTACATAATTACAAAACAAAAGAAATATAATTACAATCATCAACTTACAGATTATGGGAATGTCTTGTACAGGCACACACTTAGTACAATGTGCCACAAATATAAGGTATAATGATGAATACGAATCAACACATAGGAGTACACAAAGAATAATACACCTGTCTCGTAAAGTTTAAAAAAAATATCTCTCAAAACACCTCTACCCTCTTTCAATTCCCGGCTTCATATATGGGTATAGCCTGTTTTTAGGAAGTTTCGGGGGAAGAATATCCATTGTAGTCGTGACGCAAATATTCTACAAATGTCTATAATTTACTACAATTGTGTACCACATTCGTGTCAAGACAAACAGACGAAAGATTGTTTTGTGGTTTTAAAAAAAAAGATCAAAAGAAATAGGCCACGCCCAAAACGAACGCAGTCTAATTCCAGGTCAAACAGAGTTTATGGCACGGGGAAAGAGTGACTTAAACACGTCGTACATAACATTCATGTCAACAAGGAAAGCCAAGTCTAAGAGCAAGTTGTGATCACTTAATGATTCATTAAGGTTTTGATTTTTGCTCTTAACTCAAAAACTTTGTCAAGAAGTTTTCCTTGCTAAGCCAACGTCTCTCTTTAAAGTCGATAACATCCTCATATACCTCTAACAAGGTGCATCAAATGGCCCACGGGCCGCGAGTTTAAGATCCCTGATAATCTTTTTTGTACAAGACCATACATAAATATATACACACATGCATACATGCATACATACATTCAAACATAATTAAACACTGGCTAAAATATTTATAACATTAAACTGTTTATTTTATTAATCACTTTAATATTTTGTGTACAAATTTTATATTAAAAGGCACAACAGGGCGAGGCAAACGTTCAAACTAAGGAACATAATATGGAGGTAAGTACTACTATTTTCGGTTACCTTCAGTAATGGTGCCATTGTCAATCTCTAAATAATTTTAGGAAAATATGTATTTGCATTGCTACATTCATCATTAAATACATGTCTTAAGAGAAACTTCATTATTTTTTATATTTAAAAAAAAAAATAATTAAATCTTTAAAAAAAAACAATGATATACATTTAAAATCTCGTCTTAAGTTTCTATTTTCAAACTACGGACATATTGCACTTGTGGATGTTTTAAAAACCAACAATAACAGACAAAAAAATGTAACACATCATCATCTGTTTTTTTAGAGCAGTTAGCAAATTTTGTTCTGGTATGAAGATACAACATTTCCAAACTGCTCTATTGAAAAAAAAGTGTTATTCATTTACTAATTGTGAGGAAATCTGCAAAAAAAAAACATAAAAAAAAAAAAAAAAAAAAAAAAAAAAAGACAACCAATCAACGAACGTGTTGTCTAGAGGCCTTCTTCAGCGAACATCAATAGTAAAAAAAAAACTATGATACGAATAACACTTTATGCATTACAGTATCTGAGAGGACAGAAACTCTCTCTTCTAACTTCAGGCGTGACGTCTGATATTCCGTTGATAGGATGATTTTGATTTTTTTTACGAAATGGGGAGGAGACTTTTTAAAATAGTTTATTCAGCTGGTTTGTTTGGTTACCATGTTGACAGTCGAATGTCAAGGTCAGTTACGATTTTTTAAGGGTAAAAAAAAATAAAAGTGAAAAACATTAATTGTCAATTATTAGTTTATTCATTCACTAGCTCAAATGTCTCAAAATAAAATATTGCATTCAAAGGGAGACATCACAATTTAACCATTATCCTCAAACTGACTAATAACTCTGATCGTTTAATTTTTAAAAAAATTTAATTATTTTTTCGTTTTACAAAGATCAGTCGTTTCAAAAACTTTTAGACATGTGACATTAAAGAAAATGGTACTTTTTTTTTGTAACTTCCAGCCTTGGACGCAACCGACCCGAAAAGAAAAACCTGTCCACGTTTCAGCTCTAGTACGAAAGATTGTATGTACTATATTTGTTATGTAGCCTTTTAATAAACACATTTATTATTTTTAAAATATGTCTTTTTCTTTTTCTTTTTAAATTTCCATATTCCTTCTACTGAAATATTATATTTGGGTTGGAAAATGAGCGCTTTGCATACTTTTCAGGCTTTCCATTGTATAAACTGATATATTGGAGTGTAAAAGAACGAGATTATACATTATTAACTATGGCAAATATACATATATATATTTTTTAACTTTATTTTCTTAGCCATTAAGTTTATATTTTTCTTCGGGAATTTAAGAATGGGCTTACTTTTTCTAAGGCTATTTAAATATATATGATTATGGATTCATTTAAATCTCCCTTACTAATTGTCTTATTTCCGTAATTGAATATACCTTTTAAAAGCAATAAGAAAAGGTGTTATTATAATTATTTCTTCCTCCTATACAGTGGTGGCGTCACCTAAAAGTTCATATGGCGTCAGTCGAAATATGCTTAACAATAAATTGATAGATATTTTACTATTCCTTTTATAAAATTCATCTAGATCTGGTAATCATTATTCAACAAATTACCTGTGTCAAAAAGCCAGTTAAATTGACAAGTGATTACTTTTAGAGGGGGGTCAACTGCAAAGCTCTTGCCTTTAAATATATTTAATGTGTACAATTGAAATGAAGTAAATTTACCTAGATATATACAGATGTTTTGTTTTGTATGGCAACACCCTTTTAACACGCTGACCAGTTTAAACTATTTGAACAGGAATAAAGACATTTATTAATGTATAGGAGTTAATTTAAAACGGGTTTAGTTTAGCGGTCATCGGAATTCTAATAGAAACGTATTCATTTGATATATAATTAATCGTTCACCTATTTAGTCTTGACCATGAGGTTTGAATTTAAATTAAAATAAAAAAACAAAAAACAAAACAACATTAAAATACACGTTTTCTCAACAACAACAAAATTAAACAACAACAACAAAAAACAGATACTTATTAGTAGGCAAAACGTATATCTATATAGGAATATATTTCTTTTTTCCAAATTATCTCTTGTTTTTTTTCCTAATTAATTCTCTTTTCTTTTTACAGCGTGATAAAATGTTTGAAAAAATAAAGGACAAACTTAACATAAAAACCAAACAAGGTACAACATGTTTTCTTTCGAAAATACTGGCATGATAATTTTTTGTGAGCTTACTTGAGAGAAATACTGGGGGAAAAAAAAGAGAACAATTTTTTTTATACAATTTTTAAAGAGTGGAAGGGAAGGGGGGAGAGAGGGCAGCCTAGAAGAGGTGAACTGAGAGTAATCGGTTATTTTAAGAATTTTTCTAACAGAAAAGCCTAGCTGGAATAAATACAAAGAAATGAGTATGTGTGTGTGTAAGAGAGAGAGAAAGAGAGAGAGAGAGAGAGAATTACGGATCAAGAGTGCCTGTGGAATAATGAGTACAATAGAACAATTAAAAAAAACCAAGTTACTTAGTATTAGAGTGCGTTTGTTTGTTTGTTTTATTGTTGTTGTTTTTTTGGGGGGGGGAGGGGGGGGGGTTAAACGGAAAGATACTTTTTAGTGACGAAAGTTAAGAGGGAACAAAAATATCAATAAAAAAATACCTTTTATTTCTTACTCAGAGAGTTCAACAGGTGGCAAGAGGAGTACCTGTTTCGAGCACCACAATGACGAGACACAAAAAGTGTGGAGAAATAAATTTGAGAGCATAGTAAAATTAGGACTAACTAAGAAATATATTTGGTATGTAACAGCCGACAGAGATGACAGTAAAGAAAAAATTTGCCCAAATGTCAGTCATGATAAAGATGTAAAACATGAGATTATGGGAAAAGACACGGTTGTCCAACCTGCCACAGAGGAAGAAGCATTTTTGTGTCGTAAAGATGTTTATCGTCGTTATCATAGTACAGTATGGTATACTTCAGTTCACAGTGATAAAAAAAAGGACACAGATGTCACTCAAAAAGAAAATTTCACGCACGACAGTAAAGATGTAAGCTATGAAGAAAATGCCACGTCTTACGCGCTAGATGAAGATGAGTCAGGTGACAGTCATGATGTAGGTGTATCATGTGATACAGGACATGTCATTCAAGATGAAAATGTCATACACGCAAGTAAAGAAGATGTCACCCATGAAGGTTATGCCACGTCTTACGCACTAGATGAAGATGGTACTGATGACAGTCAAAAAGAGGATGAGACAAATGTAGATAGTTTTTTCCATGGTATGTATTTGTTTTTATGATATAATTATTAATGATATACGTTATTAAACGACTTTAAACAATTGTTAGTGAAAGATGTAAAAAAAATTAAATGTCTCATAATCTGAAATGTTTTATGCTTTAAGATAAAGATATTGACAAATTAAACTTTTACACACTTTTTTTATTTTAAAATTATCTTATACATTTTTTTTTTAAAGTATGTCAATGAATGTGTAGTACCAATGAAATATAGTTTAATTGCGAAAATAGAAAAAGCACATGTGTAAAAAAAATGATTGTCATGTAAATTTTTTGATGATATCCTCAGATCAATATGAGACCCAGGTATTAGAAGGAGGAGAAAAAGATCTAGTCAAATATTTTTCTTCCTTTGAGCTGAATCCAACTCACAGAGAAATTATATATGTCAACGATTTCAATATCAATGCCCTGCCTGAAGATTACCATGACGACGACGACCTATTGGAGTGTATCAAAGCTGAATCAAACCTGACTGTCAGGGTAGCTGTTAAAATAACCAGTACAAAAAGACCAGAGTTTTGGCCACGCACAAACAAACCTTATCCCTTCTTCGATAAGAGAGGAAGTGACCTCCTTAGGGTAGGGACTGGGATGATTTGGTCTGTAAAAATATTTACAGAAGAGGACGACAAGGGAACTTGCAAATGTCACAAGTGTCAACACTCCGACAAACCCAGCAAAATGTGGGGAGAGGTAACGATGTTCACGGCAACACAAATGGTTTTTGATAACTTTGAGGCGAGAGACACCTCGTGTAGATTTTCCTATGATGGACAAGACAGTCCACTGGTCACTTTAGACAGCTGGAAGATGGTTTCAGCAGACATTCAGGAAGACAGGTGTATGTTGGAAAATGTTACATGTGACACAGATTTACTGGATAAACTAAACGATATGCAAGACATATTGGAGACATTTAAAAACGTAACTTTCAGAGTTGTACGCTCCCTTGGATATCCTAAACTTGTTTTTGTTGGACAAAAGGTGACAAATGTTAAGTGTTACGTACTGTTATCAATATAAATAATTTAATCTTATTTTTAAGTGTATGGATCTTTGAAAACGATTATACAACAAAATAAAATACCATAAATTATATACAATAATAAAGAAATGATACCGAAACTGGGGCTAATTACAATTAGTACTTTTATTAAGTTAATAACAAATTACAAAGTCAAGAAAGAAATAAAATTAAAGCTATTGACCTACAGTATAATGATGGCTTGTACCGGTACAATGTTAAAGAAGATTCAATGTTGTAAAAGGAGGTACAATCTTTAAAAAAGGAACTTAAACACACTGCAAAATATTAGAAACAAGTCTCTGTATCGTTTAGCAATCTTTTGTAATCATGATGGCAAAGATTGTTTAAAAAAAAATTTTTTTGACGGAAAATTGATCGACGGGATAGATCAAACGGACTTTGGATCGATTATGCACATTTCCAATGATTATGGGTTCAAGTGATTATATTTACATTCGAATTTTTAAACCCAAAATATATAATGTAATCTAAAGTATGCTAATACTTTAGAAGGGAACATTTCTCTTATTTATTTAATTTTAGTTCACAGATATCATTTCTTTCTCTTGTATCTAGATTCTAGACAGAAGCTATTGTATACATATATTACCACATGCCTAGAAACAAATTATCGTACATACCGTTACTTCCCTCCCCTTGCAGCCACTTTCAAACGACTTAATGACACGTTCACTACAGTCTCTTTTTCAACTTGTTTGTTGGTAACTTTTGGTTCATGGGTTGTATCGGGCGGTCCACTTCTTTTACATCTTTAGGACTGTTTGGCCCGCAAAATGTCTCTTTTATCATTTTCCTATTTTGTCGATATGTCATCCAATCTGGTGTATTGACAATGTATGACCTTGGTGTATAGGCTTCTGAGAGGATTACTGCTGGCTTCCATGAGCTTGGAGGCGTGTTCTGCATATGAACACTGCTCCCAGGGTGAATCTGTGGACAGTCCTTAAATTTCGCTGCTTTTTTTTTCATATCTTCCTTGGTCGTTTTTTATTTAGTTCCAGATAATGGACATTTTTTTTTGAGGGGCTGGTGGTGGAAAGGGGGGGGGGTGTCTGAAACTGTAGGTTGAAAGTAGGCATCAGTAGCAAGGATAGTTGATTTTAAAAGTCTGCCCATGAGCAGCCGCTCAGGTTAAGTTCCATAAGGGCATGGATAATTTCTAAACTGCAACAGTTCCATCTATGGATTTTCCCAGAAGATTTGGCTTTCTTTTTTACTATTGTTTTTTTTAGCCATGCCTTTAAACTTTGGGTATCTGAGACTTTAAGTGATGTTACTAAATCCCGACATTTTAGACAAGTGGAGAAACTCGTCGCAGCCAAACTGGATCCAGTTTCTCTTGGGATGAATTAACTAGAAAATTGTGATTTCATATGCATAATGACCCCAGAAGCTTTGAGACAAGGTGTTAAACTAAATTTTTAAAAATCTGTTGTATTAATCAAAAAGAAGTAAATAGTTCCCCTCAGTATAATGAAAATATCAGCACCGACTTTTTCTCAAGGAAGCGCGGGGATTGCGTGGGATTTCATAGTTTCTTTTTGATGAGGCTTTTGATACTCATTACAAATTGATCAGCTAGATACAATGTCTATGATCTGTGATGTCATTCCCGTTCAGAAAAGTACTTCTCTAACTATAGCCAAACGTTTATCACGCCATAAATGTCCTTGATACAGTCTGTCAAGCATTTCTTTCTGCTTTATATCGGGAACTATAATTTACTCTGCTTTGTTTTGCGAAACAATGAGCAAGTAGTAATCCGTTGGTGCGGTAGCTGTTTTATAATGTTTGAAAATGATGGAAAAAAAACCCACCAAAAAAACGAATCATAGTGATTTAAGTTACGATTCAGTTTATTGGCAGAAATTCATTTAAAAATAATGTACATGTGCATATAATTTATTATTCTTTCATTTAACTCAAACACCATTAAAAACATGTGTATTCAGCTTGTGTGCGTATAAAATATCGATCTATTTATAATAATAACTTTTCCGGTTTCGAAGAAGCCAACTGACCAAACAGTTCAAACTAAGATGCAAATAATACGCCTTCTTAAAACAAATACTTATGAAAATTAAATATCTTTAATAATTGAACATTGTCATTTAATAATTAGCTACAACATTGAAAGACTGTTTGTGGCAAAAAGAAGCATATGTCAATCTTTTTAACATTCAGGTCTATGTAGGACTATGTAAGACCACCTCAAATTTATTGACAGAGTGCGCATAGTATCTGCTTTAAATAAATAGCGCCAATTTTAAATGAACAATTTTTAACAATATATATATAAGAATGAGCTATAGTGACATAAAGTTAAAGGGGAGATACGATTTAAGTACGTTCGGATTCCTAAACGCAATCCTAGTTATTTTCTATTATTTTACGGAAATCGAATAAATTTCAATGTGCAAACATATATTTTAAATCCGCTTTTATTTTAGTAAAGTTGAAGTATTATTATTATCAATTACAAATACATTTAAAGTATTAAACGAGGAATTATTTTAAGCATTTATTCCGAATGTATAAGCTATGAAAAAAAAATGGTAGTTAAAATATTATGATCTAACGATTGCATCTTAATCACATTTATCGGAAAATCCAAACATATGTTTATCTTAGTGCGTTTTAGTGCGTAGTTAATATTGCAAAATACAAAAAAAAAATTAATTTGATCTAAACAATTACACAAATGACGTCATAGCGCGATTGTCTATTTTAGCCACAGCCCCAAGTTTAGAAATAGAAATGTGTTAAGACTTTTTTGATAGATATATAGATACATGAATAGATAGAAAGATAAATATATAAATATATACATATATAGATAGATATAGATAGATAAAGACATATAGATAGATAGATAGATAGATAGATAGATAGATAGATAGATAGATAGATAGATAGATAGATAGATAGATAGATAGATTGATAGATAGATAGATAGATAGATAGATAGATAGATAGATAGATAGATAGATAGATAGATAGATAGATAGATAGATAGATAGATAGATAGATAGA